CCTCCTGAGTAGCTGGGATTACAGGTACATGCCACCATGCCCAGCTGATTTTTTTGTATTTTTAGTAGAGACGGGGCTTCACCATGCTGACCAGGATGGTCTCGATCTCTTGACCTCGTGATCCACCCGCCTCGGCCTCCCAAAGTGCTGGGATTACAGGCGTGAGCCACCGCGCCCGGCTGTTTAAATAAACTTTCTAATAAACTGACTGAGTGAAAGCCAAATTTCCTGAGTAAATATCTGCAAAAAAAAATTAATAAGGCATAATTGTTAAGGTCATGGGCTTTAAAGTCAGGTAAACTTGGCATTGAATCCGAGCTACCCAATTGACTACCTATGTGACAAACTTGGAAGGTTTTCATAACCTCCCTAAGCCTCAGTTTCTTTCTCTGCAAAGTCAATGTAATAATATGATATCTGCATCACAGGATCACAGGTTGTTGACAGTGTTATGTGCGCCTAGAGTGCAAAATTCTTAGCAGGTGCATAATATAAACATACGATATGTACATAGTAAACACGCAGTAAGTCATCCCTATTAGCAGGTGCATAATATAAACATACGGTATGTACATAGTAAACACACAGTAAGTCATCCCTATTAATAACATCATCAAATAACAATTACTAAATATAATGATAAACAGTTATTAACTCTAAGTGGGGAATTTAAAGTAGCCCAGAGAGGTTTCTCCAGCAAAGGGTGTTCTGTGTGTTTCACACCCAGACATGGCTACAAAAAGAGAGAAAGAGAGGGACTCCCGTCTGAGCTTTGCTACCTAGAAAGTCGGTAAGGAGAAAAGGTCTCCGTTCAATCAAGTGAGTCTCCTGTGCCAACCAGTTCTGACCCCAAGTGGTCCATCAAGTTAGCTCTCGGGGCCTCAGTTTTCCAAACTGTAAAGTAGTTCTTGATAGTCTTATTAAAACTGAAGCCAAAAGAGGAACCTTTATTATCTGCCACAGTGAATACAAAAACATAAACCACTGCATTATGGTGCAGCAGTAAAGATGGATGATAAGCCTTGAGGACAGGAGGAGCCTCGGCAGATGCCTAAATATGGAGCTGGGGGAAGAGGGGTAGGGGAGGAGCTGCGTTCTGAGGCAGAGCGATACCCTATATGGACATGACAGATATCTTCAGAGTGGGTCACATGTGTCCAGGAGCAAGCCGCCACAGGTTACATCATCAGCATGTGAGCCCGATGGGCTTGATTTCAGTGGAATTTCTCCAAAAGAAATTCTCTCTAAAAGGGCTTCTGAGTGAAAAAAGTGAGTCTTCTGTGGTATTTCCCAAGTGGCTGACTGGCAAGAGTGGCCCAAGTATGTCTCTTCATACGGAAGAGTTACGAGAGCGTCTTCATACAGCGTCGTGGGTGGTGACACGGAGTGGCCCTCTAGGCCGTGCTTCTCAGGGCTTGAATCAGACGGACTTAATGAGCCTTCACTTCCAGAGCCTCCAGGGTCTCCAAAACTTGATGTTCTTGCCCTTTTTCTTCTTTCTACCATTTTCACAGAAAAAGGGCCCTCAACAGGCCTCCATGGTTCACATGCACAGAGACAGAGTGGGGAAGGGAGGCTTCACGTTGCAAAAGCAGCAGGGTTGGGCCCTCCTCCCCACTCTGGCAAAGAGACCAAGAGAAACACATCCTAACCCATTTCCTCCTCCGGAGAACTGAGGGCTGTCCAGTAGGAAATTCTGGTTTCCTTTTGGCCTCAATAACGGCTGTACTAACAGACACCCATTCTCCAACATGACACCCTTCGTTGGCTTGCACCGTGCCACCCTATTTGCTGGAAAGATCTGCTCTTCCTTCACACCCCAGCTCCCACCCCTTCTGGAAAGCCTTCCTTGACCCCCAGCACGCCCCTGCTTCTGCCAGATCAGATGGTCCCTGCTGTGCTCCCCAAATACCTCTATGTACATTTGACATAGAGACCACCGCTCTGCTGAAACGGCTGGTCTTCTCATTTGTAAAATGGAATCAGATCTGCCCTGCCTTCTTCACTGGGAGCTTATAAGGGTCAGGTGGAAATGATAACAACACAGCAATCATTTCTATTTGTACCTTTACAATGCTTTGTACATTTGGAAATGCTCTCTTGTTGGTTTCGGAACAATACAGCATAATATAAAGCTAAAGTGAAATTATGACTATTATTAACTATTATTATTGCAGGTTTGGAATTAGCTGGGTTTTGATGGAGGTAGCTTACTTCAAAATGCTGATGGAATCCTCAGCTGTCTTTTGTAAAAAAATATGAGTCCATCACTGGTCGGGGATGGTCTATCAGTTACAGAGAATACATCTAAATGTCATCCTCCTCAAGGAGCTTTGCACAAAGGACCTGTGCTTGTAGCCAATTCGT